AGTGGCGCCGGACGAAAACTTGAGCCGAACGTACTCGGCCGGAAGTCCCGCCGCCGGCGTCGTCCCCCGGAATCCTCTCTCGGCAGGGCAGCTGGTTCCTGGATGGACTCACCCCCGCAGCCAGAGAGAAGAGTCCGGCTCAGCTCCGCTCCCAGGTGTGGCGCCGTCCACGCGGCGCCGGGCGACGTGTTCTGTCAACAACGGCTCAGACGGCCGGTCGCCGATCCTAAATGCGAAGGCCGAACCCCGCCGGGTGGACAAGAAGGGGAGGCGAAGGAAGGACGTGACCTTCGCCAAGGCCTATCGCAACAATCGGAAAGTTGACTCCGGCTTAAAGGGATAGATAAGTATATAGAAACCATGCTTATAAATTAAGGTGTTTTCTTTTGTTAGAACTTTCTAGAGTTGCGTCAGCATTGTTTTTTTAGCTTTCTTTGTGTGTGTCGGCGTTTTGGAGGGAACATTTGCGTGGGCAGAGCGGCCGAGAGGTGGGAGCGGTACCCCCGCGGTCGTTAGGAAACGTCTCGGGTTTCGGGAGTCTGCTCGGACACATCCCTGGGACAGCCCGTTCTTGGGGCTACGTGTGGATGTTAACCGAGTGTGTCTGTGTAAAGAGAGTTTTGGCGTTTAGTGTAAAATTGTCGCTTTTTGCCCGATGCAATAATTTAGCGGTTGGCGCCAGCCAGACTGGAAAAAATGCAGAGGACGACTCTACAAGGAATTCGGGTTTGGCGGTAGGAGCACCAGGCTGACAGCTCACCGACGATTGGAGAACAGTGTACCACGTGTGAGTGGTGGAATTTGAAGAGATTAGTCGGTTCCTGAGGGAAAAGGAGGCCCCTACGGGCCTACAAAAGGAGTGCGGAGAGGATTTTGGAGGGAGATTGGGATTCGATTGAGAGAAATTGGGGCCGAGGGTCGAGACTCTAGACGAGTCAGTATGGTCTCCCAAGTTGGGACTTGTAACTAGAGTGTAAATAAATGCATATAGTTCTCTACAAGCAGTGAGTCGACCCGTCACTCAGCGACGTTCGTGCCACCTCGCTCCAGACCATGGGAGCGGAACCTGCCTTCCATACCACCGGGAGGACCAACACCTTAACTGGGATACTTCAACGAAATTTGAAATATACTCTTCGAGTCTAGAAATAGGCTGAATATAATCCACAGACAATCGCACGTTTGTATTTTGAGCCTGGTGGCCGTATTTTTTGTTATAGACGGCCCACTCTTGCAAGCGCTAGGAAAGCAGCCAGCGGAGAGCACGTCACATCCGGCGCAATCGTGACGTACTTTGTCTCGGGATGAGCTTGCGGCGAGGCTGACGTCGTCAGGATGCCCTTGGTGTGGCAGCCACCGAAGCGGTCGAAGCACACCAGCAGCCACCACAACTAACCGCAAGGCTGCTTTTGTGTGAATTTCGAGTGACGGGTTAATCTTCTATGAACTTGTAGGAGAAAAGCGACATCTGGGACACACAAAAAATAGTCCCGTTGAGTGGCGAGTTCCTCCCTCCCCTCTTCTCTTGTACTGGCCGTAGCGTAGAGCTATCGGGATGACGTCGTCACTACCTGTCAAGGTTACTAGACGGCCATTACAAACGAGGCTTTAGCGACATCCACCAGGTGCTCTTTGCTAATCGTTTATTTTAAAATTCCCTTTCGCGTCTTTTTATTGGTGTGTCCGATGTGATACTGCGCCTTTGAACACGCACAGACCAAGAAATAAGCGCCGAAATTTTGTTGTAGTATCCCTTTAAAGGGGGACTCCGGCGTTTCCTTCTTAGTCCCCGATTTGCCTGAAAATTGGCTAAACACATCAACGAACATTGCTGAAATGTAACCCAAATATTGGGTCGCACTAATTTCTTTTTCTCGCGAAGTTATTGGATTTAAAAGGGTCGTCCTCATCGTGTTTTTAAAAGTAAAAGTCTACTGGCAAGAATGAAAAAGTGACGTCAGGGGAAGGCAGGCGTTCACTCTTTGGACTGCAGACTTTGTTCCCAACTGATTACGAATAGTTTCATGGTGTCAAATGGATGCTTTGGAAGCTCGTTTCAGCATCCGCGCAGCAGCACGAAGCAAATGCTCGGCATCGTCCACTTTTAAGACTGCCCGCTCGATCTGCAAGCCTGCCTTCCCCTGAAGTCAGGGCGGGGGATCGGTGGCCGAGTGGGCTAGCGCACTCTGGATCGGAGCTCGTGGAGCGAAGGCTCACACCGCATAACCCACGAATCCTGGGTTCAATCCCCGCCCCTGCCAGTTTCAATCGGGATGAGCATTATGCCGGCGTGCGGTCCTGTATCACTACTGCGTGGTACACGTTAAAGACCCCATGCTGTTGTACCGCACTGGCTAAATTGCTCATCTACAGCCGACACACCAGACGCCCACTGACGCAGACTAACTTCCCGCTGTATAAACATACACATTTTTTTGTTTTTTAAGGCGCGGCGTTGAAAGAGCACGGGTATATTTGAATGTTGGTTTTGGGCACAATTTTAACTTTCTGATTTCACGATAACTATTCTATATTTCACGACACTGAATAGTTTACCGGAAAGGGTAAATTCCGGTCATTCTGAAAATATACTTAGTTGGGTACCTCAAGAAATCACCAAGCTTTTTTTTTTTTTCTTTTTGGTCGATTGGTGTTAATGCAGAATGTACCAGTAACACCAGCCAAAATCACGCTGCGACATAAACGAACCTCACCCACAAGGTGGGTGAGGTTCGTTTGCTACCTTTTTGGCGGCAAGTGTTGTACTTGTAAATTGCATTATGCGGTAAGGAGTAGCCGGCGCTGCTATAGCAACAGCCAATGTCTCCTTTTTAGTTATTAAAGAAAGAAAGCATTATGCGGTGCTGAACGTTTTGTTTGAAAAAAAAAGAAAAAAAAAGAATGAAGACTTTTTTTTTTAAAGTCATTTTATTTCAAGTATGCAGATCGGGAATCGCTGGACATTTTTTTAGTCATTGTCCTGAGATGTGGTTGCAATAACAGCTATAGCCACCGAAATACGTCAAGCAAAAAGTGAATAAAACGGCCGCCGCAAAGCAGTACGGAGGTCCCGATTGAGATAGGCCAACGGAGAGAGTGCTCAGGGAAATTCCAATGTACAGAACACTTCGATACGCCCTGCTATGTCTCGTGCCCTGTAATCTTACACTCAAGTGAGCTAACGTGCAATGGGGTGGATATACATTATGAAGCAAAATCGCAAAACAAATCGAAAAACGCTTTTTTTTTTTTTCTGCCGCTCTGTAAGGTTTTGTTTACAGCAGGGTTGAAAGTTGGGCAAGTTGGTAGCAGTTCATGATAAAATATAAAGCGCACAAAACACAAGGACGTCCTTTTGCGCGCGCGCTTTATATTTTATCATGAAGGCTGTTTACTTTTGTTTTTGCCTGAGCTTTCTTTCGGAATCTGATGCCTTTTTGCTTGGTGCTGTTATTGTAGCACCCTGGCACACGATAGGTGAGGTCCCTCATTGAAACCCGTGAGTTAACACCCGACGAAGCCCCGTGCTAGTTCAAACATTTCCAAACGCCCGCCGGGCGTACTACGCGTAGTAGGCGCGGCCGGAAGACTAGGGAAAGCTACAGGTACCAGAATGCACCGCGGCAGCGATGGCGTCGCGCAACTCCTTGTGGAATCGGTCTGTCTGGGCTGGTAGGAGGAGTATAGAACATAGTTTTATTTGAAGAAAATACATTTTCTTCAAATAAAAACTAGCAGCGCTCCTAGCGGTTCAGAAGCACTCCAATAGCAGACTGTCAACTATAGTTTCGGTTTTGGTTTCGCCGGGTTGTGCATCTGTCGTCTGCTATCAGAGGTCTGCACACCATTATGCTTACGTCGTCGTGAATTGCTCCACACTTACACGCGATGCAGGACGTCCGCGTTTCTTCCCGTCGCTACTTATCAGACACAGCGAATAACGAAACAATTACGATTTTACTGGCACGGGTGACGGGGAGCGAGTGAAAACGCCTCAGTGAGTCAAGCGCCGAATGCTGTGCCAGCTCCACTGCGTGCACTTATTTACAACCTCGAGAACAGCCTCCGAGACTAGCACTCCAGTTTTATAACAGCCTTGTGCCCATGGCCAATTTCCTCACAGCGACGTAGCAAGATGTGCATGTTTGCGCTTGTACGCGTTCTCGAACGTTCGTCATGCACCGGGTTAGCCCGATTGAAAACAGCGATCGGCGAAGCCTTTGTCAGTTGTAAGAAATTTCTCCTTGGAGACGACGTCGTGCGGCATAGCCCCTATAAACGAAGACAAGCTAGACCAATTTGAGTGAATGTTTGTTGTCATTCCCCTCTTAACAGTGCAACGATTTTCAGACTTTGGCCATTTAACTGCGGAAATTATTCTGCGTCACCAATGGAACGAAAAACCGTAAACCGCATTTTCTTGCGAGCTAGTTCTTATTTAAAAAAAAAAAAAAAAATGAAACAAATCGAAGGTCGAAGTGCCTCTCAACTCTCCACGCCGGCTTTCGAGTGACGTACTCTGGGAGTTCACGTGGTTTCCCCTTGGGCCCTCTCTTAAGCCCCCACCCGCTTCCTCTGTGATTGTCGACTTTCAAAGGATTAGCCTCGTCGAAGGTCGCGGCGAGCGATGGACACAAAGGGCGGTTCGCCACGGGGCTGACGGCGAGTGCAGCAGCGGAGGGGGACAGGGTTTGTTGACTTCCGCGTACAACCCAGAGATGCCGTCATTTCAGTTCCCGTAGCCGCCACAGGCGGCTGCAGATCGGCAAATACTTCGTTTTTTGCCTTGAGGTTACACAGCAGAATAGCAGTTTAGAGAAATGAGCTGCGTTTCTGCATTAATAAAATGCAATAATGGCTAAGCATATTATTCTTACATATTCGTAAAATGAATTTAAAGATGATCATTTTTATACATTTTGTGTCGTTTTATATTCAGTTCGTTGGGAACGAATCTGCGAATATGTTTCTAAAACATGTTTATTTGTCGTGTTTCGTAATTTTTTCCTTCAAAATCTTTTATTGTAGTTTTTAATATTATGTGTACATGTCGTAATCCTTTCATAAAGCAAGTAGAAAAAAGTATCAATACATGCTTGCTTCGGGGCGAAATTAACGGCTATTCAAAGTACCACAACGAAACCTTAATTGGCAACGTCCACGCCTTGAGCTTCGAAATTTTACATTTCCGGGAGAAAATTAGCTACGGCGTTTGCATATGGCCAACTTCTCCCCTCAAGAACATGGCTCTAATGTATATTTAACATACATATAAAGAACATGACCCGGACCCTCATTGCACAATCTGACTGGAAACACCCTCTATTACGCTCTCCAGAGGCACCGTTCAACCGTACACGGGGACACATCCCTGTTTGCTTCATTTTATTTAGAAGCAAATTCCCAAAGGAATAACTGGTCTTTTCTGCCGTGGTGTTGCTGCAGCTTACTGGTGACAGCAAGTGGCACGAAGCTTGGGATTGCTCTAGCCGCTGGGAGAAGCAATCAACCACCGTACCTCCCCTCTAGCCCACTATAACATCCATGTCGAATTCGGTCCACGCTGCGCAGCTGGGAAGCCACAGTTCTTTCTCAAACCTCCGAAGTCAACCCTTTCTTTAATAAAAGAAAAATTACACACATCAGCTTTTTAGAAAGGAATGCTTAGTTTTTGGTGACAAAGCAAATATTAGATCAACAAAAAAAAGATCCAGGCAATGATTTGCTTGTGATGTCTTCCCTCAGCAGACGCCCCCTTCTCTTCAAGCATGACCCCTAATGAACCAGAAATTTGCCGTGCTCTTTTGGCTATGCGTTTATTATTCCTATGTGAAACTATGGCACCTGGAACGCGTCCCAAACTGCTGTGTTTGGCATTCCGCCCGTGCATCGAAGGTGGTCCCGAATTGGCAACAAACGGCATCACAAAAGCCAAAGTTTCATGCTGGTAAATGTCAAAATCCTAACAATTAAATTAAAAAAAAAAAGCAGGAATGCCACTGTCGCTGTTGTCGCGGGGTGCCCGAGTCCTAGCCGCCGAAGCTTCCGTGGACTGTCAAGCTGAAGAGTGACCTGTAGCAGTTAACAGATGTCAGCAACGTCCCCCATGCCGCCGCAATACCGCCAGGGTGGCGGCCGGCCACGACACGACGCTTCCCCCACGTCATTAGGCGGAAATCGAAGGACCACTTTTCAGGATGCAGTAAACGCACCGGTCGGAGACACGTCCCAGGCACCACAGTAAAACTAAAGGAGTCTCGGGACAACCATTACATCTGGCAGTGCCTGGACCACCGGGGGAAAGTGACCACGTCCTTGATGTTGTGGATGCCCAGGAAGTACTGCAGCATCCGGTCAAATCCCAGTCCGAAGCCTCCGTGGGGCACCGATCCGAACTCCCTCAGGTCCAGGTACCTGGTAGGAACCGTAACGGTCGACACAAGAGCAGAACGAAGCCAATCGTAAGCGCTGACACCGGTCAACACTTTCTAGGTAACGAAGCCACAGTAAGGGCTGTCTACACGGGTCACAGACCCGCACAACGTTTGCCGGACGGAAAGACTCCGCTGGCATCCTTGGACAAAGGCATGCTCATGACGAAGTAGTCCCAAAACGTGCCCACTCACAGGCTCCCCCGGCTATCAGTCAAGTCCTCTGCTGTTGTCAGGCTCCAACCTCCCAAAAACACGAGAGAAGGAGACAACAGCGAGGAAGCGAGAAGGAAAGCCGTGCTGAACTCGTACATGCGCACCAAAATTTTCACAAACTAAAAGGAAAAAAAAAAAGTTTTTCTGCTGTTGTGCACGGCACAAGCTGCGCCTTGTGTAGGCAGCCGTATACTTAATCTCTGGTGTTACCTAAAGAAGGCCAACAAGGGGCACAGATTGGAGGGGACGTACTGTGTCAGGGTTATGAGGGGGTGGCTCCACACGAATGTGCCGTCGTGCATCTCACAAATCTCTCGAAGGTTGTGGTTGTCGCATCGTCTGCTAGCTTAGAGCCACCTTGAAAGTGTGCTCACATTATTAAAATAACGCAGTTACACATATCCAGGAGGCACATGCAATGTCCAAAGAGCTTTCAGCTCGTCATACTTAGGTGCGAGATCTACATTTCGCAAGTGCAAAGCGAAACATATCCCCCGCCCCAAACCAAGCGCTCCTCGAGGCAGCTTTCCCGCGAGCGCAAAAGTCAAATTTGGCGGATGTTACCCCTTCTCAGCCAATGAGAAGTTGATGGAGCTGCTGTCTATCCGAGTGCGCGGCAAAAGCCGGTATGTACTGGTGGCCGAAGTTTGAAACCGGAAGGTTCATTTTGCAGCAACAGAAAGGACGAGCGCTAGCCCGTCCAACCAACCAACAAGCTCATCAATCCACTCTTTTTAACAGAAATAGCTTCTGGAGCACAAGCATGTATGTATGTCATTCCCATTAATTCCATAAACTACATTATGACATTTACGTGGGTCTGTCCAACTAAAAGCCAATGCCATCTATGCTTCTCTGTACAGCCAATCACACATCAGCATACATTGCAAACTAGCGTTGGATTCGCTCGAAGACGCAAGTAGCTATTGTTTTTGAATACACCAAACAAAGAAACAAGAACATTGTGACAAGGGCCACTCTTTTTTGTATACAAAAAAGGCCCATTGCACCACTCACTTCCCAACAGATACTGCTTTATAAAAGACGTAGCATGAATATCTCTGAATGGTGTTAGGTGTGGGATCAAAGGTAAATTAAAGAGTATTCCACCGGAACAATGTTAAGTAAAATAATTTTGAGGAAAAAAAAACAATGTCTAGTTGAAGCTTTGGAGGTTGCCATAAAACTGAAAAATTTTAGTTCAGTTAAAAAATAAAGCATTTGTCATTGAATAATGTACATCCATGGTATTCTGTGTAGAGATTTTTTATGCAAAATCATTCTACGGGTGACAAATGTCCCTTCTTAGAAATAGTCAAGCTGAACTCAAAAGTTTATTCCCAAGCCTGCAATTGTCGACTGCTGTCCCACTAGAGCGACAGACAGCAACAAACGACAGCGACACACAACGAGCGACAGACGACACCGACAGACAGCCTGTTTGTCGAAGTCCGCCGTCCCACTTGGCGGCATACCTCGGCATACCTCGGCAAACCTCACTCATGAGGGCCCTCACTCACCCTCACTCACCCTCATCTTCACAGGTGAGGTGAGGGTGAGTGAGTTTCTGAACCAGGAAAATTCATGAGTGTGAGGGTGAGTGAGGGCCGTGATGGCTGTGAGGGCGGTGAGGGCGGTGAGGGCTGTGAGGGCGGTGAGGGCCGTGAGGGCCGTGAGGGCCGTGAGGGCCGTGAGGGCGGTGAGGGCCGTGCGGGCGGTGAGGGCGGTGAGGGTGGTGAGGGTGGTGAGGGCCGTGAGGGCCATGCAACTCGGAGCAATTCGAATGCGTCTGAAGCGGCTGCATCCAATCAGGGACGCAAAATTTTCACGTGATACCTCGTGCCGGTGATGATGACACCGAAAGACTTGGTTCTGGTTTGAAATCGATAGTTTTTTTGGAAATAAACTGTTTCAGAAAGGTGCATTAGTATTTTTAATGAGATTTAAATGCATAAAAACACGTTTATAATGCGTAATTGTGTCTAAATAGTGCAAGAAAAATAAAATTTTATGATGACGATGGCAAATTGCAGCAATTCGTTGCTGCGTGTGATCGCGGGCGGCCCGTGTTGCTGGTGTTGCGACGTAAAGTTTCTGGGCGAAATTGCCCCATCTGAAGCTGGCCTGACTGGCGTGAGGGCCATCAGTGCGTGAAGGGGGTGAGGGGTGTGAGGGCCGCAAGGGCGGTGAGGCGCGTGAGGGCGGTGAGTGGCGTGAGGGCGGTGAGGGGTGTGAGGGCCGTGAGTGCGGTGAGTGCGTGAGGGCCGTGAGTGTGGTGAGTGCGTGAGGGCCGTGAGGTTCAGTGAGGGTGAGTGAAGGCCTGAAGGTGAGTGTGACTGTGAGGGTGAGGGTGAGTGAGGGGCTGAAGGTGAGTGTAGCTGTGAGGGTGAGGGTGAGTGAGGGGCTTAGGTAAGTGTGGCTGTGAGGGTGAGGGTGAGTGAGGGCGACCTAAAATGCCGACCTCTGCTTGGCGGACACGACGCAGAACACAGGGACAAGGAAACTTGTTTCCTAGTGGGACTGGAGTTGTCAACAAGACACTTCGAAATACACAGACAAACTGAGTCTGGCGACGCGGTTTTCGTGTTTTGCTCTTTGGGCATAAAACGCGCCGACAAACACGGTGAAAGAGGAGACGATTATTTTATTTCTTGATTAAAGCTTCCGCTTGTCTTCATTTGCTGTTGGCGACTTTCCGCAAACAGTCGTGACAATCGACGCCAAACTTTTTCCGAGCTAGAATACCCGAATCGTTCCTTTTTTGAGTCGTTCGAGAAATTCTAGGTGAGCGCCACGGAATTTCACGCCGATTTTGAGAATGTTTATAACCTTGTATCCGAATGATCGAGGGCAAGCGTTTTTTTTTTTGGATGACAATAAGACATCTCGACTATCACAGAACGTAATGACAAGTCTCTCGTCTACCGGAATGGCTTGTCGCGGAATGTCGTGTCATACTTCGTGTTGAGAGGTCTTACTCTGGTTAGTCCTCGAACATGAGTGTATCCATCCTGATGCAGGGCCGTAGACCTCGGCGTCTTGAAGCACCACCGCACCAAGTTTTCGCGAGCAAAACCAACCACAGCAAATTCCCTTTCGCAACACGACCGCCCGGCGCCAGCAAGCAAGCCGCGCCCGCGACCACTACGAGCATTCGAGGGAACGGAACTGCGGGAACGAGGAGTGGCCGCCAAGGGCTTCTCTGAAGGTCCAGCGGCGAAGCGAGCCATGGGAGGAACGGGAGGAAGGGTATAAGGGTGGGAAGGGAGGCAACAGAAGGCACAACCGGGCGAGGAGGATAAGTTTGTCTCCGAGACATGTTCCTCAGTGGGACTGCTTGCTGCGCTTTAAGTCCAACGACAGACAAGAACTCGTCCGTCGTCGATCGTTTGTCGGCGCGTGTTGGCGATTATCGCGGGCGTTGGTCGTTGTAGTGGGACAGCATCGGTGACACGGAACTTTGTGGTGTCGTCGGACAAAAATCGGTGTTTGTCGCTCTAGTGGGACGAGGCTATAAAGCCAATGGGTTATGCTCAGCCTTTACTGACTGCGCCCTCAAACAGTCGGAAGCCTGCATGGAGGTGGAAACTAAACAACAAATCTTACGTGAGAAATCAGACCTCTAGTGCTGCCAGGCTACACCTAATCAAGAGTATTTGGAAATCCTCTAGCTTTACCTCGTGTATCTTTCACCAAATCTTAAATTTAAGAAAACAATTGCAGCCAATAATGCATGCAACTCGTCACAATCTCAGTTCACAACGAGACATCACAATGCAGTGATGTCTCGTAAATATGGACGCCTCCGTTCCCCAAAAAATCGTCCATAATGCGAGTTGTCCACATTAACGAGACAAAAATGCATGTATTTTCCCAGTTTGTCCCCAAAAATAGTGTCCATATAGTAGCGGGGTACCCATATTTACGAAACGAAAATGCATGTATTTTCCCAGTTTGTCCCCAAAAATAGTGTCCATATGGTAGCGGGGTACCAATATTTACGAAACAAAAATGCATGTATTTTCCCAGTTTGTCCCCAAAAATAGTGTCCATATAGTAGCGGGGTACCCATAGTAACGAAACAAAAATGCATGTATTTTCCCAGTTTTTCCCCAAAAATGATGTCCATATAGCGGAGTATCCATATTAACGGGGTCCATATTAACGAGACATGACTGTATATACTAGCCGTAGTTTCATTTGAAAAATATTACTGCAAGACAGAGTTATAACATCAGTATTCAACAAGTATAACTTCTTTTTCTTAAATACCTGGTGCAAGGGGAGTGCTTTTCTCTTGACACGTGGCGAACTGCAGTAAAGAGGTACACGCAGGTTTCTTAAATACCTGGTGCAAGGGGAGTGCTCTTCATTCGACACGTGGTAAACTGCGGTGAAGAGGTACACGTAGGAACGCCATGTCTACTCTGCGGGTATCGCTTCTATGCGGTGCATCGGGGCGCAACGAGCAATGTATGTTGTAAAATAAAAAGAAGAAAATGTGGAGATGCTTGAGCCGGGAAGAGGGAAGGAAAAACAACTTCGAAGACGAGCAGAAATTGAGGCACCAGCCCCTTTCCAGGAAACCAGGGAGAGGGACGGAGAGCCGCAGGGAGAGCGCGCCCCACCGTGGGGTCATAAATGACGAGCCCCCCTCTTGGACCAACGCTTGGTGCGGGCGACTTCTCCCTGCTTGTTCGAACGACGGTCAAAGGAGGACGTGCCTTCTCTAACTTTACTTAAATGAGTTTTCAATATAAATAAACC